ACCCCAAAACCCCAAAACCCCATGAGATTAAATTTAATATTGTATAGAATGCTTTGAAAAAGTCAAATATATTTTAGACCTCAAAATAAATATATAAATAATCATTTTAATTTCTTAATTAGCTCATACTTTTCGTAGAAAGCAGGCTTCTCAACCAAATCATCATGAACTAGTAATAGCTCTTTTTTACTAATCTTAAGAGCTGAAGTCATTACATCCAAAGACATATCAATAATATCCCCTTTTAAATCTTATACATCACTATCACCATTTTTTTTCTCTTCCTCTAAATTTATCTACTCTGATTAGTTTCGCTATTATATTTATTCCTTGATTTCCTGTGGTTTTCTTGATTTTTATTATTTCATCTCCTTTTTACTGATCATTCTTATCCAAATACTTCCTCTTTTAAATATCTCATCGATTGTATTATAATTTATACCAAACTCACTGAATAATATTTCATTTTTATCCTTAGTAAGAGTACCTTTTAACCTTTTTTATGCTTATTCAGTAGATAGTCCACCCTTTTAAACTATTGTCCAAAAGCAAGTATTATACTGATTGTTAATGTGGCAATCTACCTACCTCCACGATAAATAATTTTAAAGATCTTCCAAAGAGGGGTAAAGTACAATTCTTGCGTCAAATGAAGGAACCTTTAATAATTTCTAACCTCCTGTATTAGTATCTCCAAAATACTTTGACCAGAAGAACACATAGGATGTAGAGAATAAACTTAAAACGCAAGACAAGATCTTATCTTCTCTTCTGTTAAAGACATTAGCACTCTTTTTAAAAGCAAAGGAATATTCATCGGAATCTCCATATGCAATAATTATCTCAGTGAAGCTCTTCATTACTTCCTTAGCACATTTGTTCATCAACTATAAACCTCTTATGTCATTTGGCTTTTCAAAGTTGTGAAGATTTGTAAAATTAGTAAAACCTCTACCGTCGATTCTAACTACCATATAGGTGCTTGGTAAAAGTGGATTAGAGTGTTCAAATTTTTTCACATACTCAAATTTACTATTCGCCATTATTAAATCAAATTAAACAAAATATATATATATATAATTAGATGATTAATTCCTAAAATTATTTTTTTATCCAATAATAGATGGGGTTTTGGGGTTTTGGGTTTTTGGGG